AACTGATTCCACAAGCTGTCTTCTGACCTCCACATATGCACAATGGTACACACACTCTGACACACACACACACACACACACACACACACACACACACACACATACTAAAATAAATAATAAATGTAAAAAAAATTAAGATGGAAAGCAATAGAGGAAGATATCAATGTCCATCTCTGGCCTCCACATATACATGCAGACACATACAAACATGTACACATGTAACACACACACACAAGACTGCATTTTAAAGCTAGGTAGTGGCACATACAAAATCTCAGCACTCAAGAGACTATGCGGCAGGAGGATTGCCAGGAGCTGAGGGTTACATAGTGAGTTCCAAGTCAGTCTGGGCTACAGTGTGAGACCATATCTCAAAAATAAATAGTTTAAGAGTTGAAATACACTTGAGAAAATGAAACCACACACAGCAGTGCTCACCTGTGCCCCTCTCCCCTCCAGGGCTGAGACTGTATAATCTCAAATTCAATATTAGTATGAGCTGCAAAGTGAGACCTTGTCTCAAAAAATAAACAAATTTAAAAATTCTTTATTATTAAATGATCTCAATATGCAGTCTTGAAACAAAAGATCAATAGCAAAATCGCATATTGAAGGAAACAATCACTAGTGATAAGAAAACTTACAGGATGGGTTTTCTTACAGAAAAGATCTGTATACTATTTCAATATTTAAAAAAGTAATCTGAGGGCTGGAGAGATGGCTCAGCTGCTAAGAGCACTAGCTGTTCTTGCAGAGGACCCGGGTTGGATTCCCAGCATCCACATGGCAGCTAACAACCATCCCTAAACTCTGGCTCCACGGGAATCTGACACCAGGCAGTACAACTCACTCATACACATAAAATAAAAATAATCAATAAAATTTTTTTTCTTTTTGGTCTTTTCGAGACAGGGTCTTCCTGTAGCCTCAGCTGGCCTGGAGCTCACAATGTAGACCAGGCTGACCTTGAACTTAGCCTGCCTCTGAGTGCTAGGAGGGTGCCACCACACCCAGCTCAAAAAAACAGTAATTTTCTTTTTTAAAAAAAGCAATCTGAAAATAAACCCCCACCCTACGCTCTGTTAAATATATATATATATATATATATATATATATATGTGTGTGTGTGTTTGTATAAATAGATGAGAGGGATCTGACTAGACTGCAAATGGATGGAGGTGTTTGTATAGATAGATGAGAGGGATCTGACTAGGCTGCAAATGGATGGACTTGCACTGGGGAAACATCTGGGGACACTGACTTGACACAGTGGGTCTTAACACCCAGGACAGAGTATATGGGTTCTGGTCGGGGGGCTATGGGAGAGTGCTGGTGGGGGCGAGGCTATAAAGATGATTCAGATTGTTTGAGATATTCTGTATGAAATACAACAAAATCTAATAAAAATAATTTTTTAAGAAAGCAATCTGATTAAAAATGAGCCAGTCCTAAATCAGCATTTCTCAAAAGAAGAGCAAATGAATAACAGGTGTAATGAAAAAAATGCTCAAAGGCTAAGGAGATGGCTCGGTGGGTAAAGCACTTGCAGTGCAAGCACAGGATCTCAACTTGGTTTGGATCCTCAGGACCCACATAAAACCACACTGAGTAGCATGTCTGTAATCCCAGTGTTCCCACAGTGCGATGGGAGGCAGAGACAGGAGAAACCTCAGAAGGTAGTAGCCAGGTCACCTGGTGTACACAGTGAGGAACAACATGAGAGGCTGTACTCAAGCAATGTGGCAAGTGAGGACCAACTCTTAAGGTTGTCCTCTGACCTCCACAGAGATGCTAAACTGAACTCACTCTCTCTCTCTCTCTCTCTCTCTCTCTCTCTCTCTCTCTCTCACACATACACAGACACTTTTTTTAAAAAAGAAAAAATGCTCAACACTACTAAGCATCAGGGAAATGCATTTCAAAACCACAAGGAGAGGGCTAGAGAGATGACTCAGTGGTTAAGAGCACCTCTTGCAGAGGACCTAGGTTAAATTTCCAGTACCCACATGGCAGTTACCATCTGTAACTCCAGTTCCAGGAGATCCGATGTCCTCTCTGGCCTCCACAGGCACTGTATGACATGGATATACTTACATACATGCAGGCAAAACATTCATACACATAAAATAAAAATAATAAATAAAATACTTTTTTTTCTTTTTGAGACAGGGTCTCCCTGTAGCCCCAGCTGTCCTGGAACTCACTATGTAGACCAGGCTGCCTCTGCCTCCCGAGTGCTGGGATTAAAGGCATGCACCACCACGCCCAGCTATAAAATACTTTTTTAAAAACCACAAGGAGGTTGGGCATGGTGATGCACTCCTTTAATCCCAGCACTCAGGAGGCAGAGGCAGGCATATCTCTGTGAGTTCAAGGCCAGCCTGGTCTACATAGTGAGATCCAGGCCAGCTGGGCAGCTGGGGCTACAGAAGACCCTGTCTCAAAAGGACCAAAAAAAAAAAAAAAAAAGCAGGCAAAGAGATATTACAACACTCCAGTTAGAATGGCTACTATCCAAAAAAAAGACAAAAGGGCACTTTACAAACCAGTGGAATATAACTTAGTATAGCCACTATAGAAAAACAGTAGGGAGGTTCCTTAAAAAGTTATAATAGCAGCACTCAGGAGGCAGAGGCAGGCAGCTCTGTGAGTTCAAGGCCAGCCTGGTCTACATAGTGAGTTCCAGGACAGGTGGAGCTACAAGGAGACCCTGTCTCAAAAAGACCAAAAAATAAACTTTATAATAGGAGGACCATATGATCTGGCAATCCTTCTTCTGGTTGTATGAACAAAGGAAATGAAGTCAATTTACATCTACATTCCCAAGTCTACTGCAGTACTACCCACAAGAGCCAAGAGAGGAGATGGCCCTAAGTGCTCTTCAATTGATGAATGCCAAAGAAAATGTGAGGACTTGTGTTCTAGTTTGTTTCTCCACTGCTGTGACAAAATACTCTGACTAATACCAACTTGAGGAGGACAAGGTTTATTTAGTTTATATCTCCCGGGTCACAGTTCATCAGGGAGCCCAAGGTAGGAACTCAGGGCAGGAACCCGGAGGCAGGAGCTGGAGCACAGGCCATGGAGAAACGCTGCTTACAGGCTTGTCAACCTGCTTTCTTATACAATTACAGGACCACTTGCCCAGGGGTGGTACCACCCACAGTGGGCTAGGCCCTCCCACATCACTCAACAATCAAGAAAATGCCCCATAGATATGGCCACAGCAGAGTCCAAGAGAGACAATTCCCCAATTGAGGCTCCCTCAACCCAGGAGTATCAAGTTGACACTAAAGTTATCCAGCACAGCTTGCAATGTAGCTCAGCTGGTAGGATTTTTACCTAGCATGAATGTAATGCCTAGCATGAATGCAACCCTAGGTTCAATGCTCAGCCTTGCATAAAACTGCATGTGGTAGTGCACACCTGTGATCCCAGAATTCAGGAGGTAGAAGCAGGAAAATCAGAAGTTCAAGGTCATCCTCAGCTACACATGAGTTTCAGGCCAATTTACCCATCAGACCATATTTAAAAAGTACACATATACATATATGTAGTACATATGCATACACTATATACCATTCAGCCACAAAAGGATGAAATTCTGTCATTCAAAACACGACAGAATTATGTCAAGTGAACTAAATGAGGGACAGAAAGAAAATGCTGCATGATCTCATTCATATGTGGAATTCAAAAACATTTATCTCATAGAAGTTGAAAGTTGTATAATTACTAGAGGCTGGAGAAAGCAAAGGGGAATAGAGAAGTTAAAAAGGTTAGTCAACAGGTAATAGTTATAGAAAAAACAAGGTAGACAATACCAATGTACTATATATTTCAAAAAACTAAAAGAAATGATTCTGGATGTTTTTAACCACAAAGATGAAAATATTTCAGTAGATATGTGTGGTGGTTTGAATGAGACTATCCCCTATAGGCTCCAAATATTTGAATACTTTGTCCCCAGTTGGTGGCTATTTTGGGAGGTTTAAGGAGGTGTGGCCTTGCTGGAGGAAGCACATTACTGGAGGTGGGCTTTTGTCGTGCCCATTTTCCAGTTTTGCTTTCTACTTCCTGTGCTGCTTGAAGATGTGAGCAGCTTTCTGCTTTAGCTTCCTTCTGCCATGCCACTCAACCATGGTGGACTCTAATCCCTCTGGAACCATAAGCCTAATAAACTCTTCCCTCTATAAGTGGCCTTGGTCATGGTATTTTATCACAGCAACAGAAAACTACCTAATACAATACTTTAAACCTGATGTGAACATTATAATGGGTACCTATATCAAAACATCATGTGCTACTCAATAAATGAGTTGATGTAATTTTTTTTATTTAAAAAAAAAGAGGCTATTCAAAGAAAGAATTGTTGTTTATTAATTACATTCATAACCCCAATATTATTGGTAATTTACAAGCAAAGTACCTAAATAGGGTTATGGAGACAGCTTGGCAGGTTAATCACCTGCTGCAAAGGCATGAGGACAGGAATTCAGATCCCCAGTCAAGTGGGCCTAGCAGGCCCCTACCCGCACCCCAGCTGTAATCCCAGCATTTGGAAGGCAGAGCCAGGGCATCATTAGAGCACACCACATATAGAGACCATTAGAAAAAAGCACCTAGGCCCTCAAGATGGTACAGTGAAAAAAACACTTTGCTACAGAAGCTTGAACCATAGCCCCAGTCACAGACTAATTATTTATTCAATCAGTTCTTAAACCTCTAGAACTGATCTTTATCAGAATAATTAAACCAAAGAAATACATAACTCTTCAAAGTTCTAACATCTTTTTACATTAATTTACAGTGAATTTACCAGCAATGTATCATGAGAGTAAAAAATATCATGCCAGCTTTGTTTTGTTTTTATTTTTAATGAGAAATTAAGAATTCTGTCCAAGTCAAAAACTACTTGGAAATATATGGGTGGCACAGAACCAGGACTGCCACTTTTGACAAATAGAAATAAGCATACATATATTTTATATACCACTCACCACCAGAAACAGGGGCATCCATGAAAACTGCTCCCATTTTCTCAACTTCTTTTGCCAATTCTTTGGAAACTGAAGGATCAATTGTACTGGAATCTATTAATAATGAGCCTTTCTTCACTTTTCTAAGTAAATAAATAAAAATATTCGTAGTTTATAACTCTGAATAAGAATTCCATGCAATTATGTATATAATCAGAATCAGCTAAAACCTGCCAGGCCATCAAGGATATTTCTGGCTTAGTACTTAAAATAGTACTCACTAGAACTTGTTCAAAAATATCATATTTACATATAGATCAATTGCGGTTCAAAGTAAACCCACACTCTTTCAAATAACAACAGCAAAAAATCTAATAAGCTACATGATATAAAGTGGTTTCAGGTGAGGTGCCGGCTAGCCACACTAACATAGGCAAAGCTAAAATGTAAGCAATTTAAACACCTATTAACTTTAAAAGGGCATCTGACAGGATTTAAATTTTTGTAAAGTCATTGGGTGTTAAAAAGTTCAATTTATTTGTTTGTAATAAACTACACAGCAAAGTTCCCATATCCATATCATTTTCACTAAGTAGAATAAACACAAGCAATCGAAATCTAGTCATCTGCTTCAAGAGGGCATATTCTTTTATAATGGAAACTTAAAAAAAAATATTTTTATTGATTTTTTTCTGCATTTTATACAATAGATCTTAATCAAATTTGGACCCCCCCCATCCTTGCCCCCCCAAATACCCCCTCCCCACTGGATTTCATGCATTCTGTCATATTTGTTAGGTCCTATCTGCTTAAGCACTTGTACCCAGATGTCCCTTGGTGGAAGTTCATCCACTGGAATCTAGTCAGCCTATCTAAAGTCACTCCCTTAAAGAAGATCTACTCTCCCTCACCCAGCAGTAATCAGTTGCCAATAGTTCTTCAACTAGGGTTGGGGCCTGCTGCCCATTTCTCTTTTTCTATGCTGGGTTTTTGTCTGATTGAGTCAGCATGGGTCTTGTGCATGCTGTCACCGCCATTGCAAGTTCCTATGAGCAAGTTCCCTGAAACAATGGCCTGAAGTCCTCTGTTTCCTTCATGAACCAACCCTGGCTTTTATAACCTTTCCAGACCCTCTTCCACAATGGTCCTTGAGCAGTAGGTGGGTAAGATTTAAGGAAACTTTTTTTTTGGTCTTTTTGAGACAGGGTCTCCCTATAGCCCCAGCTGGCCTGAAACTCACTATGTAGACAAGGCTGGCCTTGAACTCACAAGAGATCCACCTGCCTCTGCCTCCCGAGTGCTGGGATTAAAGGTGTGCACCACCACGCGTGGCTCTTGGAGACTTTTTTTAAGACAGGGTCCCACTATGTAGCCCTGGCTGGCTTGGAACTAACTATGTAGACAACACTAGCCTCAAACTCTCAGAAATCTGTCTGCCTCTGCCTCTGCCTCCTGGATGACAGGATTAAGTAGTAGTATAAGCCACTATTCCTAGCTAATAATGGAAACTTTTAAAGACAAAATAAAATAAGTAGAAAAAGAAAAAGGAATGAACCTAGAAATTTCACAAGATGTTTTGTTCTTTGTGGTGAATTACATTGGTAAAGCGGGAAGCAGGATCATGCATGCCTATCGTATTTTACATAAACATTTAAAAAGTATTCTTACAGTAAAACATTTTTGTTTATAAGTGCAGACTATATATTGAAATAGCTCCATTATTATCTCTAAAGGAGTGTTTATTTTTAATGGCTAGGAAACTGCCCTATATTATAATTTAAAGGACAAGAGCTACCTGGCTTTAGGGCCCCAGGCCTGCAATCTCAGCTACTCAGGAGCTGAGACAGGAGAATCACAAGTTCAAGACTCACCTAAACTACAGAGGGAATTCAAAGTCAGCCTACAAAATTTAGTGAAAACCTGACTCAAAAATAAACAAACAACAAATCAATCAAGGACAATAACTAACAATTCTATTCAAATTTCCCAAAGTTCTTTTTTTAATTAATTAATTTCTTTATTAGTGTGTGCATGATGCATGTGTGGGTGAGCACATTCCATAGTATGCACATGAAGGTCAGAGGATAACATTGTGTTTGAACAGCAAGCCCTCTGCCCACAAGTTTCCCAAAGTTCTTACTGTGGGTATACTCACACAGAGGATACAAATTCACAACTGGAAAATTAGAACTCAATAAATACAAATTGTAAAGAAGAAAATGGGGGAAATCGCAGTTAAAAAAAAAAAAAAAAACTACTGTAAAGTTAAATAAAATATTTCTATTGAAAAAACAGTGCATACAAGGCCAGCCTGGTCTCCACAGCAAGATCCAGGCCAAACTGCTCTTCATAGGGAATTCCAGGCCAGCGGGGGCTACAGGGAGACCGTCTCAAAAAAAAGAAAGAAAAAAAAAATATTGCACAGAATGCTGCTTCAAAAACCATTTTGACATATAAACTGTTCTAGTTCAAATGGATTATTTGGTCATACTACACATACATGACACACAGCAGAGGCTGGGGAGATGGCTCAGTGGTTAAGAACACTGGCTGCAGGGCTGGAGAGATGGCTCAGTGGTTAAGAGACTGCTCTTGCAGAGGACCCAGGTTCCATTTCCAGCACCCACAGAGTGGCTACGAACCGTCCTTAACTCCAGTTCCAGGGGAATCCAAAAGCGCTCTTCTGACCTCCAAGGCATTGCACGACATGGGTGCACTTACATACGTGCAGGCAATACACTCATACACATAAAATAAAAATAATAAATAAAATATATTTTAAAAAAAGGACACTGGCTGCTCTTGTAGAGGAACTGGATTTGGTTCCCAGCACCCACATGGCAGCTAACAACCGCCTGTATATATGCAGGTGAAACACTCAATATTCAGGTGAAACACTCAATATGCAGGTGAAACACTCATAACACATAAAATAAAAATAAATAAATAAAATTTTAAAAAAGGGATACGGTAAATGCTATTAGACGAAATCACTTCAGTAAAAGGTCTTACTTTATGAAACCTGAAAAATGTTAAATTTATCAGTTTTCTGTGTTACATTTTTAAAGAATTTTTAAATCTTAAATGGGAAATCATCTCAGTAACTACTTATGCAATGGGTTTGCAGAAATAATCCTGACCCAGGGGGAAAAAAAAGAACCATCCACAAGAAGCAAATTATAGCTCAGTGTGAAACCAAGCCCTTCCCAAGCAGTCCCTGGACAAAACTGGTCTGGTAGCTGGCCACCATCCTCCTCCATAGTAAAGGGTATTAACAAATGTGGGGTTGTGTCACCACACGAGCTTTAGTAACTTTTCCTTGAGAGGTAAAGCAGGGCCAACTGTAACAGGCTAGGTATTGAGTCAGTCAGGATGCCTCAGGACCACACACACTGTGGGCCTGCTGACTCCATCCAAAATGAGTGTCATTCAACCATCCCCGAAATCTAAACATTTATCTTATCAGTTTTCTGTCTAATATCAAAGTGTCTTTTGCATTCAACTTTGTTAGTTTTCCAAAGCAATTCAATTTCCAAAAACCTCAAATTTCATATATTACAGTTTCCTGAAATTAAACCCTTCCCTTTAGCAAACACTGTTAGAAATCAGTATGTCAGTGATTTATGTGTCTACAGGGCCTACTAGCTCTTTGCTAAAATTCAACAACAAAATAAGTTAGGAATAGGAACAAGAAAAGCCAGAAAATAGAATTCAACCACTATCATTTTATAACCACAAAGATTTGGCAACAAGCAGCAATTAACCAACAGGTTCACAGACCCAGGGAAGACAGGCAATGGCTAGGAAACCCTGACCTAAATTACATTTTATTTGAAGTGCTACTGCTAACTTTTAAGTCCAACTTCCCAAGGTTCCTACTACAGATGTGCTAACCCAGAGTACATAACTTTTTATTATATAATAAAATGTTAAATAACTGTGTTCTTTCCAATGTTTGGTTTTATTTCTCACAGAACACTTTTCCTGAATTTCTATACACCATAAGAAAATTCTGCTTTTAAAAGTTACAGTTTAAAATGCAAGCTTTAAAAGTCTTTTAAACATGTTACCAATGAAAGGGTAAGTTTGATGCAAGAGTAAAGGAAACAAGAAAAAGAAAGTCCTTATTCCCAAAAGTCATATACTTCACTTTGATGAGAAAATAAACCTTTTACGATGAGAAAGCAACTTTCACTTTATGAAATATGCAAACAGCATAGAAAGTTTTAACAAACATAACTGCCATTTCGTAATAGTTCTAACAAATGTGAAACTCATGACTATCATAACAAGAAAACATGCACAGTTGAGAATACGTACTTCAGAATCCCATTTGCTCCAGAATAAGCTTCTACTGCATTGTCGCTGGTGGGCAGCATGGTAATAATTCTGTCAGCCTTTTCGGCTACATCTGCTGGAGAAGATACTACCTTCAAAGAAATTGCAAAGGAAAATATTTAAATCAAAATGCAAGCAGTTTCTATACCTCAAACAGGACCAACTTTCCAAGCAGGTCTGCAACAGTGACAGCACATAAAAGCCATCCTTTCAAATAAGAAAAAGAAAAAACCTTGGTGTCTAAAACAGAGTCCATTTCTTGTACACATACAGACATGGTTTCTGCAGAATGAAATCTGTTTACTTCTTAAAGTGTGAAGGGAACTGACGGAGAAGCGCAAAGCCAACAATCTTGAGAACAGACATATTTCTCATGGATTCTTCTAATTTGGCCCCTAAACAGCACACTTTTCTTTTTCCCTGTGTATTAAGCATTTATTTCTTTTTCTAAATATGTTTAATTTTTTATTTATTTTTAAAACTATTTTATTTTTATTTTATGTGAGTATATTACCAGCACGTATGTAAGTGCACCATGTTGTACAATGCCTGTGGAGGTCAGAGAGGGCATTGGATCCCCTGGAACTGGAGTTACAGATGGTTGTTAGGCACCATGTGGTGCTGGAAATTGAACTTGGGTCCTCTGCAAGAGCAGCCAATGCTCTTAACTGCTAAGCCATCTCTCCAGCCCCTTAAATCTTTATTTTTGAGAATTCCATATAAATATACAATGAAATAGGCTCATATCTAACCTCCATTCTCTCCTTCCAACTCACCCATATCCTCCAACACACCTCCCTCCCAAGTTCAAGTCGCTCTCTTTTTTAATAGCCCACTGAGTCTAGTTAGTGCTGCCCATGTGTGCATATATGTGGGGCCATCCACTGGAGTATGGAAGACCTACCAGTGGCCACATCTTAAAGAATGATTCTTCCTCCTCCAGTAACTATAGACTTCCAAAAGCTCCTCAGTAAAGAGCAGGGCCTGGAGATCATCTACCCCATCTATGCCATGATTTTGGTTGGCCTGATCTTGTGCTGGTCTGGTTAAACAGCACAATTTCTGATAGGCTTTGACTAAGAAAAACACTCTGGAACAACAGAGCTGATAACCCACAACAGGATTCACTAGTAATCTGGTGTACAGCCAAAGCTCGTGCCAAGAACTACCACCCTCTAGTCTCTATTTTCAGAGGAATAAAAAGATCAGAACAAGGATGTACCAACTACCGTGACTCTGAATACTATCAGGAAGGCTGTCAGCATGAGTTCCCAGAATTCAGGTGGAAACTATATATGTGAGACACATGAATAGGCATCAGGTCACACTCTGACCCCTCAGTTCTGCTTTCAATTGGCCATGAACATACTGTAAAGTTGCTCTGCCATTGTCTATATAGTGGGTATATGCAGGATCCATGGCACATACATTCTCATTCACACTGTTCCATGCACTCAGCTCTCATTCTCCCACACATACACCTTGCTGTACTGACCAGCCAGCTGATTGGTTAACCAGAGGTCAGAAGAAGCCAAGTCTTACTCTTCAGAGAATTGAAACTCTCTTCAAGAGAAGGAATCCATCACAACTTTCACAAACTCCTTTAATGCTTTTCTCTATTTAATAAAAGACAAAGAGATAGCCAGTGTGGTGGTATGTGCCTGCAACTCCTGCACTTGAGAGCTTAAGGCAGGAAGATCATGAATTCAAAACCAGCCTCAGCTATGTAGTGAGCTTGAGACCAATCTGGATTTCATAAAACTCTATAAATGAAGAGATAAATAAATAATGACTATCAGGCATATAGTTGAAGACTCTCTAAAATAAAAACTGACATAATTCTACATTCATTATTTATGAAGAGACTGACTATACTTCCTACTAGGAAATGTGAGATGCTGACTAAACATCTTAGGAAGGAGAACATCTCTACTTTTCATGAGATGGAAGTTTGCACAATATTCTCTTTTAATCTTTAATGTGTTATGAAAGTTAAAATTAAAAAAAAGGAAAGGACACATAACAAGTGAACCAAACATTATGAGCGAGAAGTAACTACATACATTTCAACTTTCCATAAGACTATCAGGTTCTAAAGCAAACTGAGATAAAGTAATTTTGCAAAATGTTCTTTAAAATGTCAATTAAGTGTTCTAACATTTTGTGTATTAATAGGGAAGGAAATATTATAAAACACCTCAGCCTTTGAAACAGAACTAAAGATAGTCCCTTCAAGATTATCTAAAAATAATGCAGCATTCTAGAGTCCACAATGAAGTATACTCAACACGTATATCTTGATATTTAATAGGGATAAACCAAAAATAATTCTGAAAATTAAAAATCTTTCCATAAAATTACAAATTACAAATGCTTAAATTACATGAAAACTTTTCCTATATCCAAATTAATACCGAAATTAAAAAAGAGGCAACTATTATACTGACACACAGTTCAAGTTTATACATGAGTAACCCAGCTAAGTAAAATGAGATAACAAAAGAAGTTGTAAGAGTCATAATTCTCTACTAATCTATCTCAAGAATATGGGTTTTATGAAATGCAACTTTAGAGCCAGATGTGGTGGCGCATGCCTTTGGTCCCAGCACTCAGAAGGCAGAGGCAGGAGGATCTCTGTGAGTTCAAGGCCAGCCTAGTCTACATAGTGAGTTCCAAGTAAGCTGGGGCTACAGGGAGACCCTGTCTTTAAATGTCTAACTCTACTTTACTGAAGTAAAGATAAAGTAAAATAGTGGCATGCCTTCCAGCAGCCTTTCTTTCTACTGCAGCTCTACCTCTAGATCTTTCCAGGATATACATAAACTTGGGAGTGTAAATAAATCCAAGACAGACTTCCTCTTAGGAATCAAGAGTTCTCTTCCATGGAGAGAAATTTAGTTCCATCTAGGTAACTCCTTGAAAGGCCGCCTAAAGGGTATCAACAATTAGCTCAGACCTAAGAGTGTTTCACACCTCCAAGCTTCTTCTCATGCCCTGAAATGGCAGTGCCAATTCATGCAACTGCCAAGTGCATGGGGTGGTCCATCAGCCCCCTGCATCCCCAGCATCTGCTTCTCGAGATGCTTAGTTTGCCAGAGTACTGCTAACCCCTTAATTATAAAGTAAAGTAGTGTCAAAGCACACAGGTCCAGAAAAAACATACACTGATAGTGACAGCTGGAATGTCACCCTTACACTGGCCACAAATGCTCCATATGTAAAGACTACATACATTTGGTATGTTGTAACGACAATGTCTACTTTGCACCACAAAGGAATGCTTCTGAGATATGGGCATTCAAGGAATCTTACTATTGATGTGATGACCTTAAAACTCTGAAATAGCTAACAAAATTTGGCCACAACTCAAAAGCTGAGGGAGAAAAAAAACCAACCTTGTTGCCAATCTGACACTAGCCAACTAATTAGAATCCCTCAATTACATTTGCTAATTGAGTGGATAAGCAAAGGCAGCATGGATGAAACAAAGGAACATTAATTTGGGGAAGCCAGAGACCAGGTTTAATTGCAACTCAGCCAAGAAGTCATGTATAATTCTGTGCAAATCACTTAAACTCTCTGGTTTAGGCTTCCCAATCTGTAATGTAAGAATAGCAAATTGAATGAACAGTGTGGTAATCTCCATAATCCCAGGACTCAGGAGACTGACACAAAAAGGACTGCAAATTTGAAACCAGCCTGGGCTGCATAGTGAGACCCTGTCTCAAAATTTTAAAAAAAAAAAAAAAAAAAAAAAAAAAAGGTACCATCACATACACTAATCTAGCTTCTATCTCCAAGCACAAAGGAAACTTTGTGAGAGATATTCAATTGAATACTTAAATTCTAGGAAGGAGCTGATCTTACGAGTACCTGCATTGACTCTAACTCTACACAAAAGGACAGCATTAACAGGAGTCATTACGCAGGCCTGGCTGACCTGATCTCTACTATTCAAGCAGACTTGTTCATTCCAACTGCCCCCTTTACTGTTATGAACTAAGATGAGTCTGCTTCTTTCTCAACTTTGAATACAGACTGGTTCCTGTGTCTATCACAGTATCTACGATCTCCAAGAATTCTTACGGTCACTTTCTCCAGAATTAACTTGAATGTACGCTAGTACACAAAGCAACAATAGCGAATGAATCATATCAACTGCAGAGGACTAGATTGACTAAAGACAGAAGTCTGTTCACTAGGGTGGGGGCCATCTCCTTTATACATACCCCGTGGAAGGAGACAGGAAGTGCCTAGTCACTTTAGAAGATGAGAAAAACCCTGCTCTCCTACAGTCACTCAAGTCATTTAGCATTGCTTCCAAAGCAAACCAGGTGCACAACAGAAACTTCCAATGAAACATGAACAAAATCTTGTTAAACTTGCTATGCCTATGTTTTCTAATCTTTCAAAGTAAAACAGCACACTGTTATTTCTATATTACATTACACTTGAAAACCTGACAAAAACAGTTTCTAACCACATCTTGAAACATTTGGTCAACAACAATGGGGCCCACTCAGCAAGAGGCCTTTCATGTTCTCATTTAACAAGACCTGAGTGGGTGCCAGATTAGACCCTAAGAGATTTACTCAACCAAATTTGCTCAGCCTTCTAACCCAGGAACAACAAAATGGCTTCCAAGTTTTTAAAGAAAAAAACAAATGAGGATTAAGTCTAGTACACCCAGAAAACTCACACTGAAATGATACATGTGTCCCAGACTTTTGGCACAGATTAGCAGCATCTCCCTGGAAGATTGTGGGCAATGAAAATGAAGAACAAGTTGCTCACTCTTGGTGCTAAGGCTAAATTACAAAGAGAAGCATGTACCTTTCACTAACTAAAAATGGGACAGAAGGAAAAGTGCAGAACAGACCCTCAAGCAAGGATGCTATCCAGTCACCTTGCCTCCTACTTTGGTTTAAATTTTTATCCTTGAACACCTGTAACCCCATTACCCAAAAGACTGGGACAGGAAAACTGCCACAAATTCAAGGCCAGCCTGGGCTATCTAGTAAACTCTAGGCCAGTGTGAACCATGGAATAAGGTTCTCAAAAGACAAAAACGAGGGCTGGAGAGATGGCTCAG